GGCTTTATGCAACCTTTTTTTTTTATTCTTAACGCTATAAAATCTTCCTCTCAACTCCAATCAAGAAATAATGCTGCCACCACCATGTTATGCAGTGAGAGGTTCTTCAGGTTGAAATGTGCTGTTAGTTTTTTCCTGCATAAAGCGTTCTATGCAGAGGCTTACTAATCAACAAACTTGTAGCCAAGTGGCTCTAACAGATTTAATTTATAGTGAAAAGAGCTGTATACAAAGGAAAACCAAACTTTGAACAGTAATTTCAGTCCACTTTGCTTTACTTATGGTAGTCTATTGAATAAAAACCAACCAATGATAAAAGCTTAAGAAGTTGGAATACCATAGCATGGCCCACATTGTTCCACTTATTCATTTAAACAACATAAATTAACTTACACTTGTAAAGTCAAACAGGGAGATCCCAGACCCTCATTTGCATGTGTTTTTATTCTTCAAGTTGCTCATGTTCACTTTGAGTTCCGTTTGCGGGCAGGTGGTGCGAGCTGATTAAAACTAATCTCAGTCATCTAATTCAAGCACCTGACCTGCGAAAAACCCTGTAGGGGGAAAGAAAGAAAGAAATTAAGAGAAGGAGGGATGGTTGCTGTGAAGGGAGGAACAAGAGCGAGGTGATTTATGAGTTAACTTGTCAGCTAAGGATAACAAATGGAGAAACTCTTAACTGTACTTCCATAAAACCCCTACAAGCAGTATGCCTCAAATGTGTGCAGCTTTCCCATAACATAAAACTGTATTTAAAGATGGGGCATCATCTATTGGTGTGAGTGTGCCATCAGTGAGGAGGAAGGATCCAGGGGGCATTCGTTGTGGTTTTGCAGCAGACAACTGATGCAAGGAACCGCGGTGACAACCTGATGATATGTACATGGCTACCCGTCAGAGCTTGCTTTTCTTTGTTAGGTTTTAAATCACATTGATTGGCAGCCAAGACGAGTGTGCGGTTGCAGAGTTATTTAAAGCGGCTCTCGGATATGAATATGCATGTACACCTCTGTTAGCGTGCAGCGAAATGTGTCGACTGGTTCTGGTGCATGGATGTGATCCCAACATTTCCAGCTGTGCGAGAACGCGGGGGTTTGTGTAGGCCATGAGTGTGCAAAATTATCTCAGGTTACGAGCGGTTAGTGAGTCCTGAAGACATGGGATCAATTTGTGTGTTTTAGTCCATCTCATATTACTGACATAATACTGATTTTGGGCTAAGGAGATACGTGCATGTGTGACAACGTGTTCCGGAGATATTGAAAACTGCGAATGAATTTAAATCAATGAGCTTGCAGAGTAACCTTTTGTATATCCAATCTGCATCTTTCCAACGCTCGTTATTAAATTATCGTCTAATTGGTCACGCAACAAAGGCAGCTGATGAAAAAGACAATTTCTTGCTTTTAATTGGGCATTTCACGTGTGCTTCGTGTACACCTGTGTGCAGCTGAGTCGGCTCAGTGTGTCTGTGCATTTGAGTGGGAGTGTGTAATGAGAATGGGGACATTAGCAAGGGCTTGGCAGACGCCGTCACAATCAGTTCCACTCTTCCCAATGAAGGAGGGAGAAAGGTTGGAGAATGAATCCATACATCTAGGAGAAGCATACAGTGTCTTGCAAGAATCTTCATAACCCTTGAACTTCCTCATATTTTGCTGCACCCCAAACACACATTTTAAAGGTTTTAACACAGATTAGAGCATACTTTTGTTGTGAATTGATATATGATTTGTTTTCAATGTTTTAAATCAGCCCCTGTACTCTGATACGTACCTATAAAAAAACATCTGATATTGGAAATGAATTTTAAAAAATAACTTTTTCACAAACTGTCAGTCTCTAAATGTATGTATGACATTGATAAAACCATACCTCCAAAGGATAAATACTTTCTTATATCATTAATAAAGGGGAAATTCTCAATAGCCATGAATACGTTTGCAAGCGTTTCTATATAAGAGTTAAAAAAAGTTTCCCTAGAAGATTTTAGCAGCTCCAGCTGTGGCATCACCATGTAGTTGGCATGCCATGTATTCATATGTGTGTTAAACATCTGAGCCCTTGGTTAAAAAAAACAACTCCTTACCTTGGACAGTGTTTGTGCTGTCCCTGCACTTTACAAGATTTCTTCCCAATTCTATGTTTTTAATGCATTTCTTACTCAACTTTATGCGTACCACCAGCGGCGTGTCACTCTAAAATAGCCCGGCTATTGTTGCCTCTTAGCCGGGCTGGATAGTGAAGCTCATTGTGTTGTGATGGCAGGCTGGGGAATGAGCAGGCCATAAACACCGGCCCTATAGCACCCGGGGGTCGCCCAAAGGTGAAGCCTCGCTCTGGTTTTCTTTCTCTCCTTCGCTCCTCATCACTCTTTATCTCTCTTTTTTTTTTCTTTGCTTTCCTCTCCACCTCCCTCTCTTACAGTCTTTCTCTGTGTCAGCTTATTAACGGTCACAGCAAGAGTGTCTGGTTTGCAGAGCAGAGCCCCCTTTTTTTTCGGACTCTCTCACTCTTCCTTACTTGCTATTCTCTTGCTCTCCATCTCTCCATTCCCTTGGCTGCTATTATGAGAGGCATTTTATCCTTTGTTCCAGGCCCCATGGTGCATCTGGCCGCAGATATGGGGACGACAGGGACAGGAAACCGGCATGAGTTTTTGAAAGGAGGAGGAGGGAGTTTGGTGGGTCAGACTGTAGATTCGTTGCTGAGGGAGTTGGGCTGCTGCTTTTCACTATAAAGGGAATGATAAGTAAGAGCCAGCTGGAAAACGAAACGGATACAGATAGGCAGAGTGCAGCTTGTTTAGTTGAAGGCTTAACCAGATAAAATGTTTAATTCCTAAAACCGACATCAAGTTTTAAGTCGCGTGTCCCACCCCTTGTGAAGTCTGTTTCTCCTCTGTGATGGAATGGACGAACGAAACGAGAAACAAAAGGAAGAGCAAGAAAGAGGAAGAACAGATGCAAGGACATATGAGGGAGTGTCAAGAAGTAGAGGTCAACCCTTAGCCAACGCTGGCCCCAAGATGACCTCGTCCCTTCTGCGAAGGGTTTGGAGAGTAGAGGAGAGGAAAGTTAAAGGAATGCTCGGGCCTCCTCAACCCTCTTTGCCCTCACTCCTTTGCTCCTCCTCCTCCTCCTTCCAGATCTCCACAGCAAAAACAGGGTAACAGGGGGAGGAAGGGAGGGAGAGAGAGCATTGGTGATAAAACTCCAGACGTTCTCTCATTTGATGGGGCTCTGCCATGTCAATGCATTCTTAAATTCCTCCCTCGCTTTTTAGATTTTTTTTCTCTCCTCCTTTGAAATTCCAAATCAGCTTTCTTTATGTTACATATATAAAAGACAAAATTATAAAAAATAGAAAAAAACTTGCAGTGATCTGGCTTTACTGGCTTTTTTTTTTCCTTTTGCCTTAAGTAATTCTGAAGCAGCTTAAAAGACATAATATATCATTTATAAAGATGATACCAGCTAACAATAAAGGCTGTTATATATTTTATTTTACTTGCCAGCTTTGCCATTCTGTCTCCCTAATTCCCTAGAGGTCTTTCTTTAAACCATAAAACCAAAGAAGAACACAAAAGCACTTGATGAGGGAATATTAAGGACATTTAAAGGAAAGCGGTTCTCTTTGCCCTTCAGGGTCAAAACAGATGCAGCATGTTTGTATCCTTTTGTCTCTTTCCTCCCCTTCACACCATCCTCTGTGCTCATAAACGTTCCATTTCCCAGATTTTTAAAAAGTTTTCCCTCTACTATTGTTCCCCCTTCAGTCCGGTTAATGCTCCCCCATTTCAAAGATGAAACAGAAGTGTCCGGTCAGGCAACAGCAGGAACACATAAATCAAGTCAGAGGCCCCCAGAGAGTCCTCTCTCCTTGGGGTCATTACAGGCTAAGGGGTCATTTCAAAAAGGGGCTAGGCCGACCGAGGCCAGATAGGTTCCTATGTGAGCATGCACAATTAATAGGTGTGAATGCATGTAGGAGAGAGAGGGTTGGAAGGTCATGTTTGAATATAAGAAGTAAAAACATTGCCCCAATAAGGGTAGAGATTAGAGAGGGACCTCTTCTGATTGACCTCTAATATGTCTTAGTTCTTATGGACACCAAAGTCCAGTACTGTTACAATCGAGGAAGCTTTTCAAGGCTACTGTAAAAGCCTAGGTACTTACTGGCACTGGTCAACTTAGTGGTGATATTAGTGTAAGGAGCAGATGGAGTAACAAAAATAACCTAAAATTAGAACCATGTCCTAATAAGGATAGAGATGTGGAATTGTGAGCGTGTGTGTCTGTGCTCAATAAAAGGTTTAACGGTGCACTTTTATAGGAGGTCATAGAAAGGTTAGTCCACAAAAAAGGCGCACATTAAAAACAGTAACACATGGTCACCTGTCATAGCATAAAAACAATGCCTCTCACCAGTGGCAACGCGGCATGTTTCCCTGTCAGCAACACCCCGCCATGCTTGAAGCCGGGGCGTTAAACCGTCAGCAGTCTCAGCTCTTCAGGAGGCAGAACACCTTCAATAAAGAGAGATGGGCCGCAATGTTTTTAGACAGCCTGAGAGACGATTCTGTTTTAGCGTCGCCTCCACAAACAGCCCAGTGTTCTGGCTGACTTTTTTTTTTCTCTCCCGGCAAGTTTGCACAAGTACTGGAGTTCTGACTTTTCAAAGACAACAATTTTAATAACTGAGGCAGTTAAGATGTGACTTTTGCTTTAGCGCTGCAGCGGGTTTACTGGGGCTCAGCAAAGCTTATAGGAGCAATGGGAATAATTACTCGTTATCACTGTTATGGTTTGCAAAGGGAAAGAGGCGACTTTGGAAATTTGATGGTTTTTGTGTCGGCTGCCAAAATCTTCAGGGTATTAGTCAGCATTTTTTCTTAATCTTATTTTGAGTACAGCTCTGACTGTGTTTCTATGTTTTTGTCTCCTTTTCTATCCTCCTCCCCTTTACAATCCTCCTCTCTGTCTCTCCTTGCTCTGCAGGTTCATTAATGCGCGGAGGAGAATAGTGCAGCCCATGATCGACCAGTCAAACCGTGCAGGCAAGTCTTCCATACTTACTGTTTTCAAGTCGCGCAGGCTTAAGCCAACCCAAGTCCATGCACCCAGAGGCCTCTCAGTGGGTAAATACAGGACTGATGCTCCCTTCTTGGAATGTCCAAATCCTTCAGGGAATTTCCCCCCCTTCTCAGTACTGACCAATAAAGTTAAGAGGCAAAATATTTCACCATTAACAGCAACCATTAATCAGAATTGACTTGCTATGTGGAGTGAAAAAATAAATTTTGCACCTCTTACTTTGTACCTTACTTTGTACCCGCATGATGCCATTTCAGCATATCCTACTTCCTCCATTGTGCCCTTATGCAAACATATATCTACCTACTGTGGATACATATCAGTTTACTATTTTTTTTTCCGAGTATTTTAGTTAATTAAAAAGATACATATGAAATGCTCAAATATCAAATATTAACATTATTTAGATGTCATATTTTATTTCAGCTGATTGTTTTCATTAAATTTGGGCACAAAATGGCACAAAAGGTCTCCAAACCAATCACAAATTGATAAATGGTCAGTAAAAACCATCTCAAAGATTGGTACCAATTAAAGCAGACTCAGTACAATAACTACTTTGCAGACAACTTGGGTTGCAAAGGTAGAAAGCATCCAACTCTTTCCAACCCTTAATAGTAATGAGATACCTCTTTGTCTAGATATCCTGCCTACAGAGCTAGCTATGTTTTCAGAATAGTTTGTTCCTAAAACAACTTCCTTCAGTTTTTTCACCAAATACATATATTAAAAAAAAAACAATTATGCTTTCTCCCTGGCTTAAACTATAACCCAGAGAGACCTCCGTCTGTTTCTTTTTTGGGTTGACCGCTGATTGGCTTTTTTGGCTCCTTTGCCTCTGAACCTGTTTTACCCCAAACCCTTCCCCCCGTTCCCTTAAACACCCTTCCTTGACCCTATTTGTGGCTGTTTTAGGGAGCGATGGGAATGAGCGAGCAGTCCCCCTGGTGCATGGCTTGGTTTTGGACTGCTGTAAACTTTATTACCTGTTATAGGGGTGAGAGGTCACAGTGGCATTAAGGGGGGAGGGAAGGGGGAGGGTAGTAAAGTTCAAAGGCATTCAGTGAGGCCGAGGTCCTGCTTTTGCATGACTGGCCGCCAAACGGCCTAAATCGAAGGTAAGTGGCTTTCTATGAGAGCAGAACAATGGAGGGGAGCAGAAAATAAGGAACTGTATCAGGTTTCACATATTCTTGCTGCTCCACTTTAGTCAGTATTTATAAGATAAAGTATTAAGATAGGAGCAGATTCTGGGACCAATCAGTGAGAATGAACTTTTGTTGAAAACCGGATCGGGGCTCAACATGGATCTCATTTTGCTCCTTTGATCGTATGTGTAATTATGCGTTGGGGGCAGCAACATTTAACGTTAAAAGCATTGCTGGATGATGTGCCAACATGTCTTTTATTAAATATTTATTTGAGTGGCTGGGCATGTCAAGATAGTCAATCAAGAATTATGGAACTGAAATGTTTTGGATTTACAAAAACGTGCATTCTTGATTTTATTATTACCTGTGCGCAGATTATAGAATCAAATCTCAATGAAATGAGAAGGAACTTTACATTTAAATCTGGACATGGGGGAAGGACCTTCTTTAGCCACAGTAGAAACAGATCTGACATTTACAAGCCTTCAAAAAGTATTTGAAATCATTCAACTTTTTCCATATTTTCTCCTCTCATTAGCTTTAAATTGAATTTAAATCAACCTTTTTGGGATACCAGCAAAAAAAGGCATTTCCTGTAGAGGAAGCCACTTGGTATCAGTCTGATTGGATGATCTCCATAGTGAACTATGGTGGCGGCAGAGCTGTGTCGTGGGTATGCTTTACTTCGGGGAAGCTGATTAGAGACTCGTTGGGAGGAATGAAAGTGCTTTACACATGAGATAAAAAATCATCCTTTATCTTTTAATTTATGAACTAGTTGTATTGGTCAGACACATTAACAACTAAATAAATTCACTGAAGTTAGCGGCGGGGACTCTGTTGTCAGACCTTCTGGTGGCACAAAAGAATCCAACAGACTTTACATTTAGATGTGACTCTGCATAATCATGAAAATACAATTTAAACTATCCAATCGTAACCCTGAAGCCAAGGACAGTCCATGTCCTAAATGCACCATAGTTTAGATTAAACTCTTAGTCTGATCCCTATTAGAGCATTCAGCTGCGTTAAAGTCTGCCAGGGGCTTACAGTAGCTAGCCATAACAGCATGGAGCAGAGTGACGTTGAAAGACAGCAGCGTTGTCCTGTGAGTGCACCAGCCAACAGATGATCCCACTCCGTCCACTGAGCTTTAATTAAAAGGACTAATTGACCACTCTGCTCCCTCCCACCAATCCCTCCCTCCTCTTCTTCTCCTGCATCCACAGTAAGTCAAGGAGCTCCCTACAATCCAGATGGCCAGCCAATGGGTGGCTTCGTCATGGACGGCCAGCAGCACATGGGAATCAGACCACCTGGTATGGCTTTCTCTGCGTGTCTGTCCTTTTCTGTTCTCTGTTGTGCTTGCTATCTTCCTTCAGTCTGGTCCTGTGGTTCTTTTGGCTCGTTTCCATCCACTTCTCTTCCCGAATCGAGTCCTCTTCCACCTTTTTGTCCTCCTTTTGCATTTCTTCAGATGTAGATATGTTTTACAACCAATATCTGCCGAAGCGATCTTTTATTTCATCTCCATGCTGACAGAGAAGCTCTTATTTAAACTTTTACGACTGCAGCATGCTGCAGGATGTGCACTTCCAAACACACTAAGAAAGATATGCGAACACAGTTTCCTCCCCCTTCTTTCTTGGATACACCAGAACAGGTGTGCTCAATCACATTACACCACCATCCTCCTCCTCCTGCTCACTCCTACTCCCCTTGAAACTCAGTCCCTCTCTCACGCCATCAGCTTTAATCCTAGAGTTTGTCCTTAAGCTCTTCTTCTCCTCCTCTATCCCCTGTTTTTTTGGGATTCTCTGTCAAGTCTCAAACCCAATCTCAGCCTCCACTCGAAGTCAGCAGGTTTAGATAAACTACAGGGCGACTTAGCCACCCTGCACCCCACCTCAAAACACTTCCACACACCGCTCCTAGTCGAATCCACAGGGCTTTGTTTCTATGCTGTCTGTCAAATTAGCTTCATAGTGAAAGAGCACCTACTAAGCACAGTCTTGTGTGAATTAATTCCTGGTTTTAGTAATCGATAATGAGCTTCTTCACACTTTTCTAGAGACTGTAAACCTTTTGCTAATTTTTACGTTTCTTTGTTGTGTTCCCGCAGGGCCAATGGGTGGAATGGGCATGAACATGGGCATGGAAGGTCAGTGGCACTACATGTAGCCCTTCCCGAGTCTGACCAATCACAACACAATGGGGGATGTAAGTAGACTGATAAGGAAAATTTACATACATATATCCTTTTAATGTTATATTTTCCCCCACTTAATAAAGGTCATATTTTCAATGATTATTATCAAGGCTATTCTGCTAATGAAAGCTAAAATTATTTAGATTTTTATCATAAAAGATACTTTAAGTCTTTACTTGAGTTCCAATAGTCATATATTTACTGTGAGATGTATTTGGAAAGGTGACCTCACACTTTGTTTCTTTTAGTGTGTTTGAGAGAGGACAGTAAAACATTTGTGAAAAAGCTATTTAATAATAGTTTAAAACTAAGACTATAAGGTTCAAATTCTGTATTTTTTTAGTTAGCACAGCCAGTACTATTGTGTTAATCCAGGAAAATGTAGAAATTTGCTTTAATTTCTAGATTTCCAGAGGTTGCCAAAAATGTCTGAAGGCCAAAATAAACTGATATTTTACACAAAATATTAATTCCCTTTTAAACAGCTTCTTAGATCTGTGTATCCTCAGCCTTAATCAATAGACGCCTCGCTGATACAGAAAGTAGTGTTCAGAATGCTGTTTTTTTAAACATTTTCAAATTCAAACATAAAGTAATTGTAGTTGATTTTCTGCATGTCTGAATAGCTTTTAGATACAAACAGGCTCTTGTTCTTCACCCAGCAGATTTCCACTCTTCTCCTTCTTTCCCACCCTCGGTGTGGCGATAAGAGCCTTTGATCACATCCCTGTAACTCCTTGAGTATACTGTGTCGCTGTTGTTCTCACACATCCAAAAGCTACAAATCAAACATTTCTTCTGCAAATGTGGATGGGGAGAAGTAAAGTAAGAAAAACAGAGAAAAACCACAAAGGCCTAAAAATTATAATAATAGGAGTTACTGTTAGAAATGTTACAAAATGTATAAGTTTTGAAGGAAATTTTCTTTTGTAAAGTGATTCATGATTGAATATTTATTAAGATGTGGGGGGGAAAGGAGAAGAAAGAGGAAACTGGCAGAGAAGGAAAGAAGGCGGGGATGGATTGGGACAGGAGATGGGTGGGGGGGACCTTCTGGGTTGGGAGAGGGCAGGTAGAAGGTTGCTATGGCAACAGACTGATTGGCAAAAATGTAAGCAGTCGTTGTTGGTGCAAGGAGAGCGAGAGAAGTGAGCGCCCCTTAAGTGTCATAAATCTGCCAGGTTGCTGTTGATGCATGAGCCACATTAATACACACATACTAACCAGCTACAGGGGTGCCCCTCCTAAACCCACCACCTCCTTCCCTCCATGTCTTCCTCATACTCGCTCCGACATTGTGGTTTTTCTCACTGTCAATTTTCCTCTCTCCATCTCTTTCACACAACACCTTTTTTCTAGTTTCTTTTTTTTCCCCTCTTCCTTCTCACTTCTCCCCCTCCTCTCTCTTATCCCTTCCCTCACTCTTGCCCCAGGGCAAAACAGACTCCCACATAATTCTGGATGTATACAGGCTGGCTGGTGTCACAGAGCACATTGTGTTTTAAAGCGGCGCTGGGTCCAATCTCAGCCGAACACATCATTGTTTTCATTGTGCGCGTGTGCCACCTTGGCTGAATGTAAAGCGCACAACGTTCATAAGTGAAATACATGCTGATGTGTGGGTGTTAGCCTATGTAACTCCATGCTGGGCTGTATAACTGTATATATGCATGTGCATATGTGTGTGTGTATGCTAATAGGATTACTCCTGGCACAGAGAAGGGACACAAACTACTGCAAAATGGAGGAGGTAGCCAGCAGGGTATGGAGCTTAGCTGGGCCTAATTGACTAGATCCAAATTAAATATGCCGTCACCAGAGGTGTGACCAATGGATTTGACTTATTCAGTTTACAAAAATAGGGACCATTAACCCACTGTGCAATGCGCGTGCACTGTAGCGAAAATATTCCCCCCTTGTTTTCGCCTCCGATGTCGCCGGCGACAACAAAAGGCCAGAAATCTCAAACGGAACCGCATCTTTCAGGTTCAGGATTCAGGAAGAGGAAGCAGAAGGAAGAGCTCAACGTGTGTGTTTGCGTTTGTGTTGCTGTGCAAAGTGTGTAAACACCAGGGTTTGTTCGGCGCGTCCGGGCAGCCTCTTTCCAGCAGCTGCTAGCCTTCCCAGCAGACCTCGCTTTAAACAGCCTCAATTTGCCTGCTGAATCCCGTAATTGGGCCACCAGAGGAATCCTCGGTGAGACGGGGCTGAGGCGCGGAAAAGACGGGAAGAGTGAGGAGGGGAAGGGAAAAAAAAAATAAAGGACAGAGACAGAGAGGTAGAGGAAAGAAAGAAGGAGGGAGGGGCGGATGAAGAGATGGGCGAGTGAGAAAGGGGGAAGAAGAGTAAATGATAAAAGGGAGGGTGGAGAGGGAGTAAAAGGAAGGAGGCGGGAAGAGGAGAGAAGCTGAGAGACTGATGATGACAGGAAAATGTCTCTTCTTCACAAACTAGTGTTTCCCTTACAGCTTCATCAGCTCAGCACGTCTCTATCGAGTTTTCCTCCTTTCCTTTCTAGGTCATTTAAAAGTAAGCGATGTGTTATATTCTTTCATGACCAATTAAATTAATAGGTTATTACGTGAGGGAGGAGTGGGGACAGTTATCTTATTTGATTAAGAGAGCACAGGTTCATTATATTTTATAAGCAATTTTCATTAGCAGCGTTGAGATTTTCTTACTGCAGGGGCTAAATTGAGCGGTTATTGTGCCGAGCCTCGTTACAGAAGGTGTGCCTGGCAGTCACACAGCAACATTAGTTAAAACTAAAGCCAATTAGTCCTGCTTAGTGGAGAGCGTTATGCTTTCCACCCAGTGATGATTACGGAGCTTATATCCCCTTGCGAAACAATACACCTGTCAGCAGAGATGAAGCCCAGCAAGTGAAGCAGAAGCGAGCCGAGCCTTTGATTGTGACGGGAATGACTCTCGGATGACCCTTACCCCCATTTCCCCTTCTTTCCTCCTTCTTTCTTCCTCTCTCTCTGCTTTCCCTCTTCCCCAAAATTAGCCATGTGCTGCCCCTGCTAACTGTAATTTCAGGTTTCAGGAGAATTATCACAGAGTGGAAGAATTAATTATGACGCAGAGAGTATGGAATTTGTTACTTGGTTTTGCCCATTAGGAGCTTTTCCCCAAATCAAGAACGCTTGAATGAACGGATGCTTTCTCCGCCAGTCTCGGCTGGAGACCCTTTGTCCCAGAATTCATTGCTGAAATCATTAAGCGCAAATTTGTTAACCTTCTGCATAGGGGGTCAAGATCCCTTCCACCAACTCCAACTTCCACAAACCCTCCCACTATTACCCCCGCCTCTTCAAATTCTCTGTTTTCCTGTCGGGGAAACTTTACTATTAAGGGACACTGGGTAGAAAAGAGAGAGCAAAACAAAAACACAAAAAGAAAAACAGGTCCCCATGGGGATTGTGTGGCCCCTTGTATTGTCCATGTGAATGTGTGTCCCTGTTGATTTGGCCCCTGTGGAATCCACCTCGGAGTCGAGGAAATGAGACTTACAGCTCGATGTATTGATTTGCTTATTAGGTGAAAAACCCCATAAGCAATGTTGAGCTCCTTCAAGCACTCATAGCATTATTGGCCTTTTGACACGAGTTTACCGCAGTAATCAGTGCAGCCTTGTTAACCTGCAGGAAAGTCACACGACTCAGCGACAGATGAATGAACTGTTGATGCTCTGCTTATTTGGACACTTATTTAAGAACACAAAAGGAACGTATGATTTCTCTGGCAAGTTCTGTTAAAGTTCTCTTTAGGTTATAAGGAAATTTGACATGCTGCTATTTTTGTTGCTTAGAAATCCTGCTTGTATGTTTAGTTCCAAACATGTGGAACTAAACATACAAGCAGTGGAAAAAATGTTTTGCTCCCTATAGTGCAAAAGTTGCCTCTAGAATTCAGTTAATTTCTAAATGAACACAGAAAACACAAAAAGACACTGCACATGTACCTCAGCATACCATCACTATAAGAGGAGAGAAGATTTACTTCAGCAGGATCAGCGAATCTGATCAATGATGATGGGATGATAGAACTGATTATTGGCAGACAGTAACAGTAAAACCCTGACCACAGCGTGCTGTTGATAGACTTTACTGGGTAAGATACAAGTATATATGTGTGTGTTTTAGAATGGCCTAGTCAAAGTAAAAATAGAGAATGTATCATGAATCTGAAAAGAATCCTGTTTATCCAGAGTCGTAATCCAGTCTGACTGATCTAGAGCTATTTTGCTAAAGAAAAAAAAAAGAAGAAAACAAAAAGAAATTCTCAGCTTTTTGATATAAGCTGGATAAACGAAAAGGCATTCATCTGTGATCGTTTCAAGTCATTGTGAATCGTTGGAGTTCATATAGTGGTATTATAGTCAATGAAACCGAATCCAAATGCGAAGCACAATTTTCAAATTGTTTCTGGAAAAAAAGTTGTTATTCCATGTAAAAATAAACCCCTAAATTGTAGCATAACATTGAAAATATCACAGGTTTGTTGCCTTTAACATTGATAATAACACAATAAACCTGTTTAACAACAGCTATCACAATAGTTCACACCAGTCTTAAACAAACTACACTTTTCCTCCTTTGTAGCTTTGTTAAAACTGATGGATGAGGGGAAGCGGGAAGCTATTATTGTTCTCAGGCTCCTTAATCTTTTCCTTTCTTGCTTTTGTGTTGAGCGTAATGGTCCTCTTGTGTATATGTGTGTTTGTGTGTACGCGTGGACGGCACTCTCAGGTGACTATCGTCTATCCGTCTCACCTCTTGCTCTTTAGCTTTGACAGCAACATCGGCCACGTTCCCTCGCTGGTCACTTCCACCTGCTGAGAGATAGATGAGGACTATTGTTGCTGCTATATAAAAGGAATGCAAGCAGTCAAGATGGCATAGATGGCGTCTTTGCTTTTTTGCATGTATCTATGAAACTTTAGTATCCTTCAACAGGCAAAATTGTTGTTGGACCCATTAAGGTCTTGCAGGCTGAAGTCTGTCTTTGAAATGATTGACTGTGAGATTTTTGAGAGAGTCTAAGGCTAATTTTACATTAGCTTGTAGTCCAGTTCAACAGATCATCCAGGAAATGTTGCACACTTAGTATCGCTTCAAGCTGATGATGTGTTTGGTCTCTAAGTCCCTACCTCCTGCTAAAGTAGCATTACTGTCGGGTGTAGGATTAACTTACTAAAACCTTCGAGGGCCCTCTGTGTCTCTCTATTGCATCTTCATGTGGAGTCTGGCTCCAGGTCGACCATTCTGACGAACATGGTTCTGTCTGCGGACACATGCAGAGCTGATCAAACAAGGGCAAGGAGCTGTTTTTTTTACCCTGTTCATGTAATCATTGTCCATCATCATGAAAAAAAAATCTATTTTAGTGCATTTTTTCCAACTTTTCTCCAAAATTATTGGTGCTTCCATTAGTTAGACTTACCCATATATACAGCAATACCCCCCTGTGCAACCAAGGCTTCCTTCAGATGCCATTTATTCAGAACATCTAAGTAAATTATGAGTGCTTAGCTCAATATAGGTTTTTTGACCACAAGCCTAGAGTTTTCAAATAGATCTTTAGAGTATAAAAAGAAAAGAAATTCACTGGAAACCAAAGAAACGTAACAGACCCGTCTTAAAACATTGGAGAAGAAAGGAGCTTTATGGGAGAGCCAAAAAGCCTTGTAACCACATGGTGGACACAGTAAACATGTAGGTTCTCTGGTTGGAGATAAACAATTAAAATTTTTAATCCACGTGGAAAACATCATGTACTGGAAATTTACCATTTCACCTAAGGCTAAATATCTAATCCCAAGTTCTGTGGGTGTTTTTTGTCTGTATAAAGTTGACAGTACTGCCGTGAATGGAATGAAGTTTTAACCAACTGAATTTGTCTCTTCTCAGAGCTGGAGGGGAATCATGTGTCTCCTGGAGGCCTGTGGAGCTTAGGACATCTCGACCTCCTGATGCCAGTAACCAACAAAACCAAGATTCCAGAATCAGCAACCGTTTTATCTGGTTGATGCCTGCCATGTGGACATTTTCCCTGGCTGCCTCTAATCTTTTCACCAGAATCGAACTGAGCTGAGCTGATCAAAATTCACCTAAGTAGGGTGAACACGGAACACTGCTTCTTCTTCTCTGGTGGCCACAAACTTCTGCCTCTTTGCTGAGGCCCGATCGCCCCATGCTGACTCCTCCAACAAAGTGATTGTGATTGACTCTTTGGGCGATTTGCCTGTACCTCTGGTGAATGTGGCACCTGGTTGATCTATTCTCAGCTCTTGACAGCAAACGTAAAAAGACTTATCCTGGGGATGGCTCCTCTCTTTGGGACAGTGGACTTGGACCAAAGAGAAGCCAATGTCTGCAACGGACAGGACGCTGTAGCAAAACAGAGGAGGTGCCCTTTAAAAAAATATGGTGGATTGAAACCTGGATGGAGGGATGATGAGAGTAATGAAATTAAAAGTATAAAACTATATCAAGCCCTAGTTTGGGATGTGAGTGGAGAAAGAAAATATACTGTATACTGTTGTAAAATTACGCTGGACTCTCACAAGAACTGGGAAACTAAGTATTGTAAATGCTATTGTATTGTTCTGCATATTATGTTGTTTCTAATAGATTTTTTAAAAAAGGATGTGAACTTTTTGCTCTTTTTTTCTGGTTTCTTTCCTTATTCTATGTGTGTGTGTGTCGGAAAGAGTGTGTGTGTTCATGCACCATTACCAACAAATCTGCTCAGCAAACCCAACCTTCATCCAACCACATTGCCTTTTTTGAAAATAAGTGAGAGAATAAAATCTAATATCTGCTCTAACTTTTGCAGCTATTAATGAATAATGTGGGCCGTCGTCGATCCAGGCGTTTTATTTGTGTTTATCCTTCATAAATCACAGCCTCCAGATGGACATGCATGCTGCAGAAATGTCTGTTTCTGTCAGTTTGGCTACAGTTTTACCTCAAGTCTTTGCGACTTTCCATATTTATTGAGCTAAAATTCTTTGATTAGCTGCTGGCATGACTTTTCTTTAACTTATTGTTTTTCTGCAGAAAAAGATCGTGAAGCTCATCAGATAGATGATAAACACTGAAAAGTTAGTTCCTTGACCCAGACGGACAAGTTTTTCCTGCTGTCCCTTTTACTCCTGTTTTGATTTTACCTTCAAAAGAGATATCCATGTAATGCAGTCATGACGATGCAGTCTTTAAAGATATTCTCAGAATTAATGGGGAAACTACAAGTATAAATCGAAAGACATGTTTTCTTCTTTTGTGTCTGTGATTAAGGGCGTCTAAAAGTCTCTTCCCATTTCTTATTAATGTGTTAAATATCACATGGTGGCGCTTCATGCCCAATGGATTCTCCCCTCTTCATCATTTGATGATGATGCTACGGATAACAGCATTTATATCACACTTCATTTATTCGTTTTTTTTTCTGTTTGTTTTTAAATTCAACTAATTGATCCAACTTTGATCTGCATACGTAAGAGAATGTTAAAACAATTGTATCTAAAAACTGCTTTTTTTTAAACCAACCCAGCCCTGAATTGAGAATTTGTATGCACAAGGCTTTAAGCTTTAAGGACTTCCTTGCACAAAGAGAAAAAAACTGGCTTTAAAATATGTTTTCACTTCATCCATAGTGCGCAGTGAGTTAGTGGCTCGTTGCTTTTTTTTTTTTCCTTTTTCCACTGGTGGCTTTGTACTGAAAAAAAACTCGTATACATAAGATTCAGGTTACCTATGTGAGCCTGAAAAAGTCCCAGCAGTGCTTACAAGTCCCCTATCTGCATTTTTAACCCCTTTGGTTGAGTTTAAAAGTGACTACTTTCTATAATTAAGGCTGCAAAAATGTGGAAAGAATAGAACGACCCACAACCAGGATTACTGAAAATGTAATATTTGGATTAAAATTGCAATTATTTCTTCTATCAGCTTATTTCTGAATTAAGAAATATATAAACATTATATTTATACAAAAAATTATCGATAATAATTTATCACAACGTCAGAATGGCTTCGTAGCGTTGTCTGTATGACCAAGTTTAAATCCTCCACTTGTTAGCACTAGCTAATTAGCAGCTAAAAGGCTAATTGTTGTACTGTAAGTCCACGACATAGTTCCCCTAGTGTGAACTAAAGATCTGAACAAAATCCTCTCAAACTACCATTAATATACAGCATCATTTAAACCATCTAACCACTTCTTTTTCAATCTGGTCAAAGAGGTTTTGCTAAAGTTGGATCCGGGAATTACACAGTACAAATTAGCTGTCGTTGAAGAATGACGAGGCATCTTATAGCCTCTAACTCAACAAACGAACTATAATTTTTGACCACATATTTAATTACAACAACCCAACTTTCAGACCAACAGCATAAACCAAGGGTTAAATCAACTGCCCAGCAGTTTATTTTGCTTGTGTGCAGCACATGTGGGACAGTATTGATGTGCCTGGGAACATGGGTGAGGTGGAGTGTGTGTGTGTGTGTGTTATCAGTGCTTCCACTATCCATTGCTTCAGACGTGCACATCTTTAAAAAAAATACCTTTAAAGACAAAGTCATGATTCGTATGCTTTTACGTGGAAGGGTATATATGTACATGTTTGTTGTAAATAAATACTTTTCTTCAAATAACACTATTTAACTAGTCTCAGATTATATTGTTATACGGATTCAGCGCCCTGCAGAACTAGCCTACTCATGCCTCGTAAACATTTCTAAATTTTGTGTCGCAGAAATGATTTAATTCCGTAGGTTTTACATGGATTTTATGTAAAAGATTGACACAAAGTTTTTTATAATTGTGAAGTTAAGGAAAAATCTTACATGGTTTTTACCTTTTTTTTTAACAAATCCAAAAGTTTTTTTTTAACATTTGTATTAAGTCCTGATATATTTTGTATGTAAAACCAGATTTTCCAACAATTGTTGGTGCAAGTTTTTACATATGTTTCTGCAAACCTCTCACATTGAATTCAATTTTTTCCCCCATTCTACACAAAGTCGCTGAAACTGAGTCAGAAAACTCAGCTTGATTTAAGATGCCCCAAATACGTTTTGCTTCTGAATGTACTTGTAATAAGCTCTATTCATCCTTCCACCAAGACTGACAAGCTTCTCTGTCCCTGCGGGGCAACTGCATCCTCTCAGCATGATACTGCCACCTCCGTGTTTCACCATGGTTGCCCATAGAAGTATAGATATGTGGAGTGCTTAAATTAGAACTGCCTTTTCTCCAGACTCTCCAAACTACATCCTAAATCTCTGCAGCTCCTCCAAAGTAACCATGGGCTTTTTTTAAACTTTGTTTGAAGTGAACAGCTTCACTAAAAGTGAAATCAAACACAATTTTTTTACCATTACACTGACTTTCTGAAACAGCTGATTTCAGCAGATTCTATTTAGGTTAATTAACTTAAACAGATCTGAACACAAATGCATAAAGCACTATTCAGATTTCTGTTTCAGACATTTAAAAACAAATAAACTTTATCAGTTATTCCTTTTTTTTAACAATAGAACAACCAATTAAACCCAAACATGCATTAAGTTTGTCATGGAGCCAACTGTGAAAACGTTAAAACGCTCTGAACATTTTTGCAAGACACTTTAAATGATAGACTATAACATATTATTAGGAGCTCATGCTTCTCTGAGGCAAAATCAGCGATAAACATGTTTACATTGAAGAAAGCAGAAAGGGGACATGGACTTGGAGTCTCCCACTGTTGCCGGAAAATGTGCAGCTAATGCATGCGTTCTGCTGTAATTTACTCGCACACAGAGAGAGAGAGTCGGAGAGAGAGAGAGAGGGGGCTGGGGTATGACAGAGGAAGCCAACATTTCTCCCTTTAGGATTAAAATTTATTTAGGAAAAAAAAATATCTCCAAATGCGTAAATGGGGGAGATTAGTTCTCCCTCAAGCCATATTGCTCGCAGCCCGAGCAGCGCTCCGGTAGCCGGAGTTGTCTCGGGGATTACACCGCGCTTCAGAGGAGGGAGGGAGGGGGACTGCGGAGCCGAGCGACTTTAGTCTGATTAAAACATTTCGGAGGGCAGACCTAAAAGTCAAAGTCAGTATCTTGTTTTGTTTTTTTTTTGTCGAACAACGAAAACCTTGTTTTATCCTCAACAATACGCGCCAATAAATCAGTTCTATCTGTCTCTGTGTCCTCCCAGCAACTATTGTGTTTTTATCGCTTCTCTCTGGCTGAATGCTATTTGCACTACAGGAGAAGCAAGGAAGAAAAAAAAAACGACACTTTTCAGTCTGAAAATAAAAAAAAGCGGCGACGTTTTAATTGCTTCGCGTCTCTCCAGCGTGGCTTGCAGATCCGAGGCTGGGAAATGGGAATTCCTGAGCCCGTGGCCGCTGGGAGCGGTGGAGACTTGCAGTAGAAAGCCCATGCATGACTGCCCTCTTTAGGGGGGCCTTGTAACTGTCCGAGTCGAGGGGTGGAAAGCTTGGAGACGGCGCAAAAGCAGCGTCTCCTTTTACGCACGGACGCAGAGCGCACAGAAAGAATGCGATCAATAGTTTTTATTAAGGGCTAAACAGATACGATGGCTCACAATATGGAAACTAATATAACATTAACATATTCCTTAACTAAAGCATCAAATTCATCAATCAGTCCTAGATATAAATCTGGGCTTTTTGTTAGTATTAGTTTCTCGTAGAGCAGCTGAATCATTTTAATATCATTTGCGCTCTAATCATCAAAATATATTGTTTTTTATCCGGAAAAGGGTGCAAATAAAAAAATATATTTATTACAACACGTTAGTAGTTTGGCCAATATCTCAAAGAATCAAAGCTCGGTAAAAATCATACATCTAAATAAAAAATGTATTGATAGTGGGTTAAAAGCATGTGGAACTCGTTTTGTTTTTTAATAAAAAGCAAAAGGGAGAAATTTGTCGTATATGACCTAAATTCTAACTATCTCTTGCACTTTCAAATATTTTGTTTCCAGTTTTTTTTTTTTTTTTTTGGAGAGCTGAAATGTATAGAAATGTAGTTTGTCGCAGTGATTGCAGGCTTAGGCTGTCCTTTTTCAACACAAACTGACCGCGGAGTGAACCATCAGGTATAATGAATGGAGCAGAAACATGTTCCAGAGCAGTGGAGGTGTCCACACAGGCCTGTCTTCCTCCCACAAGGCACATATGTTTGCGCGTTTGTGGTTCAATGCGGGAAACCCGGACAGGGAGCTGTGCGTCTTCGATGAACGTCGGTGTTTAATGTGAAATCGGGTTAATTGAGGGCAAAAAAACCCCAGCAAACAATTAGTTGATTAATGAAATAATAATAATAATAAACATAACGAACTAATCAAAACTGGTCCTTGAACGTGTTTTTAGTTAATGTGTTTGTGTTAATCCCTCGTTTAAGTTCCATATAAAATCTCATTTTTTTTTAGATATATCAAGCGTTTTATGTCAGCTGTAAATCATTTGATCATCTTGTAATATTTAAAATATTAAAAAATACTCATAGACTGAGACATGAGGGGAAAAAAACAACAGAATTCTCATTACACAAAGGGACACAAAGTGTATTTTACAGTAAATCAAGGAAAACATGAAAAAAGTATTCAAAACACTCACTATAAAAAAAATTATACAGGTTTAAATTTTATACATTTAGATCATTTTTACATTGATACAAGAGTATTATGTATTTGCAATTATAAGTTATATATTATCATTATTAACATTACTAAAGATATTAATAATTATCATTAATAATAATATTCTATAAACACCTAAAATCCTTTTAGGGCTACGTGATTTATCTTTATTAGAATTTGGACAAGCTGAGAAGATTGGTATTTTGTTTTCATATTGTGAAAAGAGATATAATTGATTTCATTTAGCAACAACTCAAATATACTATAAAATGTTTTGAGATGAATTAAATATTAGCCAATAAACACAGTTAATATATAACCAAGAAAAAAAAGAAAAAAAAATATATATATATATATATTACCAAAACATCAACTTTTTCCAGAAATACTTCCCACCTAAACACCAAAATAGTTTAAAATATTGGTTTGGTCAAGTTAGCAGGTCCGGCCGAGAACAGTTAACCTGTTGTGTTTGAAAGGGTTGAAATATAAATGACTATATCAGGATATTCAAAGGTAGAAACTGTCATCAGATTTCCTGATGGAAATTTCTGAGTAGTGCTCAAATCTTACATTTTTTCCAGTTCAACCAGTTTAGATGTAGCACTAGCAATAAAGTTAAGGAGGAAGTTGTTTCTAATAAATAGGATCTTAGCTATCGTTGGTTGACAATAAAAAAGAAAGTAAAAATCCTACATTAAAGAGCAGTTTTGCTTTAGAGATGGAGCTATTGCTCAAGTCATCTAGGCCTCTAAATCACATGCAATGCAGCTGATAAGCACAATGATTTTACTGTGGTTGTTAGGTTAACTCATTTACTGCCACACTCTTCAAATAGATATATAAAGTTTTTCAATATCTTAATCCCATTATATAATTTCATCAGGAGTTATTTCAGGGTTATTTTTTGGCTCCTTTTAACATATAGGAAAAAATTATGTAAAAATATAAATAATTAGATATAACCTTTTGTGTCCTAGGTTATACTAGATTATAAGTAGAATGTCAGAAACCCGGATGATTTATTTCAATAATATGAAATCAAAATCTGTTTTGAATTTATTAAAATCATGAAGTGCGTTATAACTTCTAAGTCAACATTATTTCCACTTATAATCAAAATCGCAGGCTTATTTAGCAGTTTTTGATGTATTTTTTTAAACATTTGTATAGAGAGTTAAGAATCAAATCTAGTCTATACCAAACTAATCTTTGCACTAGAAACATTAGCACAGCTAAGACAGCTTTTTGAAATCAATATGGACAAGAATACAGATGAAATGTTATCTTCCAAACACCTTTCAGGACAGACTTTCTAACCTCCACCTTAGAAAGTCGCGTGGCAGCTGGTTCTGAAACAAAAGGAGGGAGAGAAGGCAAAAAAGCACAATCTGTTGAAGAAAAAGAGTCGGGAAGCAAAAGAATTGAGAAAGACTGTTGAGCGAGGGCCATTTTGGATGTCATCTGTCTCCTTGGCGACGGGGCCCCGGCCCTCAAAAGCCCCTTGGGCGCGCGGATTGTTTGAGAGGAGCCCGCTATTTTCTGCAGCATCATTTATCACTGTCACCACATAATGATTCCCCTCGCAGCTCCTTATTGATGTTTGTAATTGCATTATCTCATAAGGGGGGGATGATCAATGGAGCCGAGAGGAGCATGAAGGGGTCAGGAGATGCCGGATTGCTGTTTGTCCATTTAATGCAAGCAGGCTCTCATTATCTGCAGCTTCTCCAGCCTCTACTGCTCTCCTCTGAGTTTCCTTTTTTTTAATGCTGTGATGAGAGGAAAAACAGGACAGAGAAAGGGAGGCAAACAGTTGGTTTCATTTGTTTAACCCCTGTACATCCGCAGAAATGCAGAAATGCAGAGAAAATACTGGATGGAAGAAGATTATTACTTTCAAATTTAAAAAGGAACCCAATATTAGTGGAGGGAGCTATTATGCTGAATGATTTTTCTTTGCAACATTAGAAGCATGAGTTTATTTGGGATAGAGATGTTCTGAAAAAAAAAAAAGCTCCAGCTTCCTGTCTGAGGTTTGGTTTCACAAGCCTCCTTTGAATAACTATTAAAGAAGCATTTAGGGTGATTTCAAAAGCATGCATCCAAAACTTCATCTACAGGATGTATGTAGATGATTAAGATTATTTATTACATTTCTTTTTAGTGCCTTACTGGGGTGCTGTGAAATTCTGTTAACATGACAGAACTGACCTGACAGCTGAATATCAATGTTTCCTGTTTTGTAGAAAGGATGTGGTGGATCTGTCTTTTCAATGTGGAAGGGTGATATTTTATCTTGTTTTTTTTTGTGTGTGTGGAAAAGCTGTGATCAAATTAGACATTCAAAAGTGAAACACATTAAAAAAGATTAGTTTGAGTCTTTATTTTCACCATAAAAAGCTAAACCATGCTTTCTATCATTTATGCTATACTGATAATTTCAGTCTTCAGTCATCTTTAAAAATATTAAAGCATTGATATTTTTATCAAATTTTGTAATTTTTCCACATTGAACAGATTGTTTAAACTTTTAAGTAAATGTCAAAGAAATATGTATATATGTATATATATGTATTGTAGTAGTAGATCCATCTTTTTGCTTGGAAATAATCATCCTTCCCTATCAGTATGACTGAAATCCAGATTTTCACTACTCTAATGAACTACAGGTCTTTATGTCATATATGCTGCAGTCCAGCTTTTAAAATACTGTACTCCCCATAAATGAACAAACTATAAAAATACCTTTTTTTCCACAACTGAAACATAGGGTTGAATTATTTCAAAATGTATCATTGAACATTTGTATAACAAGGATCAAATGTATATTATTATTCTTACCTATAAAGGCGTTATCTATTATATTTACAATCCTTTTTTTCTTTTTTGCTGAAACCTTTTTACTATCTGATGAAGGAACCTTTACCCTTTACCACAGGGTAGAGGTTTTTTGGGAGGGAGAGGGGCGCACAGTGACAAGAGTCTGACTTTGAAAGATAAACGGTTCAGATAATCAACTGTGCCAGTTCCGACATTTCCATGAGGCATAAGCTTGGGGCATCGTGTTTGCCTTGCGGTGAGCTTCTCTGCTCCACATCTACAGGCTTCCGGAACCTGAGAGAGCTTGTTCCTGGCTAAGGCACTCTCCCCTGCGGCTCCCCTGCTCGGTGCTCCTGCTGCGGCTGAGGGAAACGCGGCTGCCAGCGCACCTTCCCAGGCAAGAAAAGCTCAACCGCGGCTGGTTCAGAACTAGAGATGTTTCTGTCAGCACCTTCCCGAATTTCCACCTCTCTCCAAGGTCACCTTGGCAGCACCAGAAGAGAGGAACCAAAAGATCCCAGAGAGGGTGAGGGGATATATTCAGGTGCACACACCTGGTGAGGCTAGATCCAAAAATACAATCCCATAACCAAAAATAACCAATATAACCGTTAGAATAAAACTAACTTATGCACTGGGCATCTTTTTATTTCACCCTAACACACAGCTTTCAAAAAGGAGGATTTAAAAGAGCTTCCATTGGTAAATTAAAGCCTTAAATAAAGGGATAAATTACACCAAGGAAAAATGAGTGAGGGTGCAACAGAGCGCAAAAAATAAACCAATAAAGTGGCTTAGTTGTGGCTTTCATGAATATTACTGAGTGTTTCAAAAGATGCCTAAAAACAAAGGAACAGAACAATAAAAAAAATATGATAATCCATCTTCCTGCTGTAATTACTATTATTATTAAGCATCAGTGTGCGTCATAGCGGCTGGACTGCAGCTCTGCTCTCTGCGCAGACGCAGAGCTCTGGCCTCTTAAAGTAAACAGAGTAACAGCAAGTCCAGACAGGACAGCGGGACGGAATTCCAGCCTGAAAACTTAAGATAAAGTTTATAAGCTATTGGCTCTGGCTTGCGTTTTGGTATTAGTTTACTTCTGCTTTCTTCCAGTCTGCGTATTGTCTGAAAATGCAGTAGTTCCCTCACACACTCCATGGAGCGCATAGTTTATTGCATTTTCTTCTGTTTTTTAGCAGTTTGTAAATCAAATTGTTCCTGCTTTTAATTCGTATATATGTCAGTTATTTAGTGGATAATCTTTAGTTGGAGCAGATTCAGTCTTGGTCTCGGAAAGTTACTCTAAAAGAAGCTGGAGACTAGTGCGCGTGAAGTCTCCTTCCCTCTGTCTTTCTGTCTCTGTTTGGTAATTGGTTGCCTTTGCCGTGAATCTGCCACCCGTCTCACATATTCATCAGGCTCCTATCAGTGATGGGGAAAGAAAAATGTCAGCTCCGCTTGCTCTCACCCTGTCAGCTCTCCAAACCGTGAAAATGTGCGTCTTCATCGCTGCTGTTGCTGCAGTTGTTTGCATCTCCTCCCTTTTCTTGCCTCTTTCTCTCTCCGCCTGCTGTTGTTGTAGTACCCAACGTGTGAGCTTGTGTTTATGAGGAAGGCAGAGCAACGTTTTAGACTGAAAGCAGCTCGAAAATCATAATCTAAGTGCAACCAAAGTTCGGATTTAATTAGTCAAGGTTGGCAAATTATTGAGTCTAACTGATAAATTTGCTGAAAGCTTGAAAAAAGATGTTATTTTAGAATAATCCCACTATACTTACACTGTTATCTAATTATGTAAAAGTTTGTTTACTGAAGGCGTTTTATGAGGTTCAGAGTCACACTCTAACTGGCAGATTTACACTAAGATTGTTTTTCTAACATTGCTGTTTAGCTTTATTTGCTGATCTGACTTTGAAAACACTAAAAAAAGAAAGTGTAGCTGTCTGCAAATTTGATATATTTATAACTTTGTCTTTGTTTATTATTATTTTTTTTTTTTTTCTGAGGAATTGCATTTATATTTACCCTATCCAGTAGGTGATTGTAGGACTAATTATGCCACCAGGATTACTCTGAGACAGGAAAGTATGAATTTCTTATTTTTTAGCCTTCAGACCTCTTAAAAGTGTGTGCAACCTTCCAGGTTTTTACCACATCATTTGGAAATTTAAAGCTGTAAAAACTTTATTCATCAACTATATAAATAGAGCATGTAAAGGTGTAACTATGTTAAATAGAATCTTTCATTTAGAAGCCATACTCTTGAAACCACAACGTGTTTTCAACAGTGTCTGCCCCCTTTCATTTATATTTCTAATATAGGCCCTATATAATAATAATATTGAATAACCAAAAACTATATTATCTGGCACATTTAGACCTGATTACAGCCAGATTCATCAAATAAAACCAAAAACAAAACATTATTGGAATAGAACCTGACATTCGACTTGAAGCAGCCTTAAGGATTACATCATGCCTAAATAAAATCGATCTATCTATCTATCTATCTATCTATCTATCTATCTATCTATCTATCTATCTATCTATCTATCTATCTATCTATCTATCTATCTATCTATCTATCTATCTATCTATCTATCTATCTATCTATCTATCTATCTATCTGCCCACCTGCCTGCCTACCCACGCCATCCATCCATCCATCCATCCATCCATCCATCCATCCATCCATCCATCCATCCATCCATCCATCCATCCATCCATCCATCCATCCATCCATCCATCCATATATATATATATACTGTATAGATATATATAGATTCATACATCAAGAAGAGGTAATAACCAATGTCATTGATAAAAACAATATGTAAAAGTCACAACATGCTTCTTAAGGCTTTTAGAGTCAACCAAACCACAGATATCTTAAATAGAGCAAACACATTAAGTTAGAAACCCTCCTATGAAAGGTTGACCTACCAAAATTACTCCAAAAGCTCACTGAAGAAGTCATGAAAAAATAAGAACTCAAACTAAAGCTTGGCAGGTTTTACATTCTTTATTTAAAGCTATAGGGGAGGATCTTCGCAAATTTTTGAAAAGACCCGCCGTCTCCACTTAAAAAAAAAAAATGCACATAAACAACCCTGTATCCGGTCCAATACAGGCAATCCGGCACAAGCACATTTCTCCTCATTCACGCTCTGAGTAAAAGTTCTTGTATGCATCACTCCTACAAGCTTACTTTCCAAAAGAAGATTTACAATTTTTCCTCTATGTCGGACTCACCACTGGAAAGTGAAAATGGGGACGGCCTTACGATAACATATCACCAGAATGATTGAGAATTAGGAGGACCACTTATTTTGATGATCCGCCTGGAAAAAGAACGACCTCCACTATACCTTTAAGTTTAGAGTTCATGATTTAAAAATAAAAGAGCTAGCTAGATACCTATTTCACTATTAGCTTGCCAAAACATTTTGTTTTATCTGTTTAGAAAACTATCCCAACACGTAGTATTAAAGGGGTCTGGACAACTAAATGGACCATTGGAAAAATTACGGTTAAATGGAAAAGTTAAAAATGAATCTTATGAAATAGGTGTAATTAGCCCAGCTAGCCACACTGATTTACACCACAACGCTGCGTTTGTGCAGGCTTAGACTCTACGGCCTAAAACCTACCAGACCAACCACAGCGCATGAGTTATTGTGACTAAGCATTGCACCCAAGAATGTAATGGAACGAGGTTTTGCTAGTGCCCTTTATAATATCATGAATGAGTTCGTTTGAAACCTCAACAACTGGCTGGCTTTAGGGCTTTTCTTTATCTTTTTTTAATTTTTTCATTTTGGTCCCATTGTTATCCGATTGGTTCTAACCTGTTGACCATTGTCATCCCACTCAGGTCCCGCCTTTGAAATTTGGCTCTACCTGCAGCGTTCCAGTCAGTCTTGTTTAATAACATTTTCTTTCTACAGTGAAATAATCTCAGATTTTGTTTTGTGACAAAACATTTCACAAGGTGAATACATATCTAAATCTGTGGTACTAAGAAAATAAGCATGCATTTAGAAACCAAATTCATAAGCCATCTTGTTGTATCCTTTCTATGCTTTTCTATACTTAAAACCACCACAATAAATAAGCTGTTATTCTGCATCTATTTTTCTTTGCTGTGATTCTCTTTCCATTAGATTTAAGTATTTAAATTTAGGGGTTTGTGATTTGAAACACCAACAGGGAATTCAACAGTTTTTTTTAGAGCAGAAAAATGTTCTGAGTAATGTAGAAAGGATCTTATTTTTTCATTGAGTCTTATAGCTGTTTAACAGGTTGACAAATAGATATGTATTTTCTATTGCTGAATTTCACTTTTATACAATATAAATCTTTATAGTGCCAAAATTGCTTAAAACAAAAAAATAAATAAAAAGGACAGATTTAAATCTCAAATTCCAGCAAAATAGGCCGTTTCAACCACATGTAACCAAATACAATGAAATACACTGAGTGGATGCAACCGCTGCAAGATTACATAATCACTGAATCATTTTATTACGTTTTTCTTGTCTTCATTTAGAATTATAGAACGTTTGAAAATGAACATATAAAATCTAAGAAATCTAAAGCAGGGCCACAAAGTAGGTCTGAACACGCAGTGTTATGCTCTACACCCAATTTATGAAGCATGGACGGTTTATAAGAAGCAATGCAGTTTGTCCAGAGAGTCAGGCTGAGTGCAGGGAGGACGGTTTCCATGCGGTTAGTTGTGTTTTGGAATAATATATATGGCTTGACAGAGATGTTTCCCTTGCGTCATAAAACAGCAGGGAGCATCGATGGTCACTTACCCCTCCAACCAAATATGAAAGCAAACTTTTGTGTTTCCATATTTTTTTCCACTTGTTAGCTCTGTGTGAAGTGCTTGCTAAATCTGTCAGAACACTTTCCAACTCTTTGTAGGAAGCCTGATTATGTTGATAAAGATATTTGATCAAAAGTGCCTTATTAATTTATAAAGTAGTGATATGTTCAAACTGAAACCCAGTTAAATCATGCTTGTAAGAAGCAGCTTATTTTGAATAAAAAAAAAAATCAAATTATCTTACCCTTCATGTAAAACAAAAAAATTAGTAAAAGACCTCTTGACATATTTTCAAATAAAAAATACAAAATAAGCATATAAATTCCATTTACACATATTTTACAAATTTCCTCAGTTAACCAATACAAACATATGGAAAATACATAATGATGAGATTATTTAAAGTTTTGCAAATTAAACATGTAAAAAGTGTTGAGCTCTCATCTCTTCACCCACAACTCCTCTGAACAATATCCAGTGGGAACAGTTATTCTCAGAGTAGTTGAAGGTTAAGGTTTAGATTTGTAAAAAAAAATAAGAAAACACCAAAACAATCATTCGTTCTTCACAAAACAATGTCTTAAAGTGTGTTTATTAATTTCAATCCTTTTCCTCCAATACTTCTTGATAAAAATCCATCCCAGATTTGAAGATTATATGATTAAATATTTAAAAGCATGATCTACATATATGTAAAGCCCTCTTTTGTCAGATACCAATACAAACGTAGAAGTTAACTAATATTTACATGTTTGTTTGAAAAAAAAAATCTGAAATCCTAATGTAAGAAACCGTAAAAAAATAAATAAAAAAAACTGTGAGAGAATAATATGTCAAATGACTTGCTGAATAACACAAAAGCAAAGTGGTTATTTAAACCAAATAATAGATAGTTTTTGTACCCTTGAGTGTTCACAATCATCATCCACCCTCTCAGACACTGACAAGCGCAACAAGCTCTACATGAGCCCCACCTCAGAAGACAATGCTTGTTTGAGGAACGAAAGAACAGCTGGAACAAAAGCAGTGACATGATGGAAAGCCAAAACTTTGCTCACCAGCCTGACATCTGTTGAGGCTTCAGTGTCATGCAGATAGCTTGTTATGCAAATGGTGGCTGCAGCCCCATGAGACACTGACCAGTCAGACCGCTCGCTATCTTGACAACACTGAAGATGTCATTGATCACAGACTGTTTCATTCAACTATCATAGCATCATTAAATGATCTTGAGAAAAAAAAAACATTTGTCACTATATGGTTTCATGATTTGTGTAGCTCAAGGGGAAGAAATTACGTCAATGCATTTCACATTAGAATGGTGGATCTATAATATAAAACATTTCCATTAGTGGGAAAGTTTGAAGGGTATTGGCTGCAGGGCCCTCAATGTATAAACACACAGAAACTCTCACATTTTCTCATCAAATGAACACATGCATGCATACACCCCCCCACTGCAACACATGCACAGCAGGTCGGCAGGTTTCTCATGAAAAGCTGTTAGCTGTGCAGAAGCAGCTAGAGACACATCCTTTGTCTAGCTTCATGATGGATGAAGCAGCGGTACGTTGGCGCTCGCCAACATCAGATAAGCAGGGTCATCACCTTCGCATGGAACGCTAATGAGCCAAATACTGTTTAAACGTAAATAAAAAGCCCTCGTGTGCAGGGAAGGTATCTTCTCTAGCCTAAAGCTACACATTTACACGCTTAGAGCTCAAAGGGAAATGGTTTTTGAAAATGTCAAAATCTTTGCAGGTTAAGAAATTGGTATTCGAGCAAAAAAAACATCTTTAATTTAGGAAGATTTTTGACCAACCCCAACAGGCTATATAAACACCCATATACTAATAATATTAGATTTAAGTAATATATTGATAATTCAGAAAACTCTCAAAAGCAATTGACAAACAGAGAAAAAAACAAACAAAAAACAAACATCAAAGCAGCCAAAAAGAGAAGTGCAATTTTTTTTTAGCTTTTTTAACCATATATTGATATGAACTGGCTGTTATTAATACTTCACTACTGCAATAAACTCACTGATGGCTGTGTGACTAAAAAAAAAAACAATTCTGTGCAACTAGATTTTCATTCAGAAGCGTTTTCTAAAAAAGAGACAAAACCATAGGAAATGATCAGTATGAGTCCTTGTGCTGTAATTCTGTAATGCACAGCTGGTACCAAGAGTCTCACAACGTGGCAGCCTAAAGTGCTGAGCCGAAGCAGCTTATATCCACACTTTCCTGTTGTTTGGCCAAATTTGAAACAACCATCTGAAACTGGTGCATGTTTAGACCAAGGATCGCCCTTCACTTGGTGAGTCTGTGTGAACTGTGGACTCAGTTTCCTATCCTGAGCAGCAATCTGATACTGCTGTGATATCGCAGAATTTGTTCATAATTAATGGCTATTTTAACAGTTTAAATTTTTATAATTACAATCAATAACTTCAATTGTTAAATCATCTTCCCTCCTTATTTTGGTTATTGACTGGAACTGAAGATGAAGGTGCCTTAATGCAGTGCTTTGCTTCCATGTGATTGGCTTAACTAATATTTATGCTAAAAAGCTCCTGAATAGGCATGCTGCATGAGGATTTAATAATACTTTGCAAATGAAGGACAGAACACTGAATTTATCAAGCTGTCCACGATGATACATGTGACTAAGTCTATCCACCAACCTATTGTCGATTCTTTCATAACCACAGATCTGCAGTGCAAATAACTGTACTGTAATGTTTTTGGAAAAAGACATCTGTTTGCCACATTACAGCACTCCAAGTACGCTCTTATTCTATTCCAAAGCAGACATTTTACTCCCCTGCTCTGTGTTTACTTAAGTTTGAGAGCCATTAAACACACAGCCAAATAATGCTGGATTTTCCTTATAATAGTCCAAAGGATAAAACGGCATAGAAACGGGAGATTTTTTAAAGTTTTCTTAGAGGTCTTCAGCAGCGTAATAGACGTCAGACAGATAGACATGCTTGATGAATGAGTAGGGTTAGGACAGCAGCTGGCAAGCTGACATTGGTGAAGATCCCCATGCAACTCCTCTCAGACGTGCACTGACTTCCATTAATCTGATGGCAACTGAATGTGTCAGTGTCATGTCTGAATGCGCACCGTGGAGGTTTTCCATAACAAATGCCAATCAAATTAACACTTATTACTTATTTTTTTTCTCCACAGCAAAATGCTGGATTCTCAAATTGTGAAACACGAAGTAAAAAAAATAAAAAGAATTAATAGCAAAATTGGAAAAATGCCATTTTTTAAAATTCCCATATTTTATCATGGACATGGCAGTATATCCAGATTGGGTGGTTGGTTTGGTTAGCAAGAAATAAAAACAGGTTGGCCGTTTGAAGGGGTATTAATAAACCTGCAGTATTTTAGTGATGTGGTGGGGATAATAGACTAAAATAAAGAGCACTTCCAGGGTTGTTTTTTTTACAGATCATTTTTTTCCCCAAGCATCGCACTGACTCACAGGATGCTATAAGAGGAGACTACTTTCAAATTTTCAAAATCTCCCTTAAATTTAAGCAAGACTAATACAACTAGGATCAAACTGTATGTTCTAACAAAAAAATGAGCTTGCATAAACATTACAGGTATAGTGGATGATGTTCTTTTCCGGGTGGATCATCAAAATAAGATGTCCTCTTAATTGTCAATCATTCTGTTGATATGTTCGCGTAAGGCAGTGACCGATGGTGAGTCAGACAAAGTGGAAAAATTGTAAATCTTTCTATGGAAAGTAAGCTTGTGTGAGTGATGCAAACAGCAAATTTTTAAGAGAAAATGCACAGGAAGAAAAGGCTTCTGCATGCTCTCGCAGCAGGTACAGGTTGTACATGTGCTTTTTTTTAAAGTGGAAAGGGCAGGTGTTAGGACTCCAGTCTGTGTGGTCTGATTCTCCTCCTCACACACCTGCAAGGGGTTACCTCGTTAGCGGAGTGTTCTTAAGCTGCTGACTGCCACTACCTCGACGCCAGAGTGTTTGCCAGTTTTGGGTACTCTAGCCAAGCTGAGTTTTGCTGAGTCAAACTGAGTTTTTGTCAACCTGAGTCTTAACATTGTTTTTTGTCTTTGCCTCTCGGCAGGAAGTCATCCTGCAAACTGGATTTTTTCGGACCTTCTTTCCCTGGAAGGATCAACTGAACTTTAAACTGAGCCGAGGATACAAACCGGAGATTTGGATCCACTTTTCCCCGAGGAAACGTTTGAGCTTCATACTGAGCAAGGTATTCATCTGCACAACAGTGTTTCTCCGTTCATCCACAAACAACTGCATTCTGGGTAACCCTGTCCACCCTCCTCCGTATGAGACAAACACTGGAGCACATTCCTCACCTGTTGGAGTCTAAGAGTAAACCTGATCTCTGGAAACGTGAGTCTGCCAACCCTTTCTTCTCTACAAGTTTGAGAATCAATTCTCCCACTGAACCTGAACTAACCGCAGTGTTTTCCCCTCATCTTTCAGTTCCGGTTGAACAGTGATCAGAGCAACACTGGAACCTCCACAAAACCTCTCAATAAACCTGTTAAACTTTTTCCCTTGTCTCTCTGGACTGGTTTACCTACATGTGGCTCTGAGCTCTTGATGAAATCATGACAGCAGGTCTTTTAAAAAATTTGTGAAAATCATTCTCTATACCTTTAAATCCAGTTCTGGATTGGATACGGGCCTTTTAAAAGCTGGCTGTATATCTGGGAACCAACGAACTCTACAATTTCTACTTCTAACTTTTAAGCAAATAGAGGAGCAAATATATCTGTAACATCATTGAAAAGAATTTGCCCCTTGCAAATGTCTCCTGTTTCATTTCTTTTTCTTTTTAGACTTTGAAACTGTAGATCAGTATCCACATTTCTAAATCAACAAAGATTACTTAAAAAGAAACACAAAATTTAGTTTTGTAGGCATTCTACCCATCTACAAAAACAACTATCACACAGTTAAAACCTACCATGCCCAAAGTGAATATGTATGTATGTTTTTTTTTATCACTGTAGGAAAAAGCCTTCTCACTATTCAAATCTGTATATCCCTGTCATCCTGGACAACATACAGCATCAACCTTTTAAATTTCTTCATTTTCCCCAAGGACAAGCATGATTAAAAATTTTTTACAATGATTTTGGGCCTTTTAAAGCCAAAATGAAAGAGATATTAATGTTAATGAGGGTATGCACACTTCTGACCAGGGTTACCACTGATTCAATGTTATCTTAAGTTAAACGATAGAAGACTGTCTGCTAATGTGACCACATTTGAAATTTGTGCAGGTTTTTATTTAGAAAAGTGCAACATTGAACTTCACAACTGAACACCAGTATATTGTATCCATATGTAGTTAATCTACTTTTCACATGGATTCAGGTCCCTCTTTTCTGTCTTTGTAAGTTCTATTCACAAAGTAAACAAGCATGAAAGTCGATAACTGTGCAATAACTGCTTATTTTAGTGCAGGTTTATAAAGAACACTAAAAGCCAGATTTATTCTACCAGAGAACCTTCTGTTTCTCCCTGTTTTATCTTCCAATTTACTGTCAACCTCATGGTGACAAATAATCCACATTTTTCTCTCAGCGTTGTTCTCTTCTCTAGTCTCAGGCTGTGGAAGACCTTGGGCTTCATTGTTTATGGAGCAACAGCGGCCGTGAGTTGTGGCCTGGTTTTGGACTGAGCTACAGCCACAGTTTGAAGTTTATGTCTACCAATCAAACACAAAGTGTGTGTGTTATGTGATATTATGGACTGAGAGGCTAATTTATACAAGAACCCAAAGGACTTAATTCTCTGATGAAGATATAGATGAAGATCTGACTGTCTAAAGAAAGAAAAAAGATAGAAATTTAAATCTTTAATTCAGTCTGGAAAATAAGGGGAGACCTAAAGTCATAAAGATCTTAATTATCCCAAACTACTCCAACATTATTCGGTTTTACTGCTTCTCCATTCTTTGACCATCACAGAAAATGTATACAATATTTAAAAAAATAAAAAGGAGGAATGTAAACCATATCTTGTTCTCAGGTAAATCTACAAACTGAAATTGAACTGAATCAAGCAGTTACCGGTACATAAATTCACAACATTGCAACCTCAAGACACTTTCCCAGACAAATGTGTCTAATTCCAATTGTACAAAGCCTAAATCTGAAGTAGTTCAGATCATTTCCTCTCATTCAATAATCGGATCATTTTAGTCAGTTTTTGATCCAAACAAAACTAGTGCAAACAAAACTAGTGGCGCCCTTAACATTTAGGATCTTATGTGCCTGGATAGTGCCCTCTGCCCAAATTTCTCAGTCTCTGTATCATCCAAGGTCGCACCACACTCTTTTGATGCCATTTATTGTTAATAAGCTGAGAATTTTGTGTTGTGAACATGTAAAGAGATATGTGAACTGCAAAGCTGGACATGCTGGAAAACCCACAAAATGAGTCAACTGGCTCATTTTATAGGAGATGACGCGGACTACTCATTCACTCTTTGTTAATAGATAACTGAGCCACAACTGAACTATGCAGAGGCCTACTGTTGCTCTAGTACTTGATTTAGTGCGGTTTTGTTGCATCGGTCACGGTCCAGTTCAGTTTCGTTCCATTTACACTCAACAGTTACCTCTGGTACGGTGCTCAGACTGATCCCTGCATGGTTTAAAGGTTAGTCTAAATGGGGCTAGAGATTGCTGAAGTTGCAGCAATCACTCCTTCTAAGCAAGCCTGAGTGGACAGTGCAAAGGATCATCTGCCTTTTATCAGGAAGCAAGCTCCAGCAGAACCAACTTCACTCACGTCAGCATAAGCAGGCATCGTTAGGACCAACTGGGGGATTTAAGAGGACTGGGAGGAGAACCCCCTTAGAAATACAAAAATAAATAAAGGGAAGATTTAAAAATGACCTCCTGGAAGTCTGTATTTAAAACTGGTTTATAGGCTGAGGTATGATCTTAGATAGACAATATGTCTACCTTCTGTTGGGGCCGAATTAGGAGAGTGGGCAAAAATCCCTTGACTGACTGATAGCAAATTTAAATTTGTTGATGGCAGTTGCTGTCATCTAGGGTGCTACAATCAGTTAAAATTTTTATGTGGCAAATATGATAGTGGAAATGTAACATTTACTTATTTAATAGACAGAAAATGTATTTCTAAACTGGTTTACATACTCAGGTAAAGCATAGAAAGTATAAACATTCCTATTGGGGCAAATTCTATTTTTCAGAGCAGGTTACCATTAAAGTCAGTGGGTCTGATTGAACATCAAATTATGGACATAATAATTACAGATCATCCCAGAGTAGCAGGTGAAAGTGTCAGAATGTGAAATAAATACAACAGGGCAATACTTGATTAATATTGAAAAAGCAGTTTTACATTTGTGTTTTACAGCTGATTTTTTTTCTCTGTCAAACCAAAATAATCTAAACAAAAGAACATGTTCACTTAAAGTTGTGTAAGAACAGGAGTTTTAATTAAATGCAATTTTCAATTAATTTTGGTAAAACTGAGCCAAATCACGACTGAGACGCATCATGGCATCACTTGTGCTTGCATCAGAATCCTGAGGAACCCAGAGAGGAGCTTCAGCGTAAACCGTCTTAAACACTAATGAACACCCATCTCCTTTAGCCTCATTAATGAACAATAAGCTGGGCCCTAAACAAAGAAACAGGTGACAAAGTGGATGTAAACTTTTACATGTTTTTATTTTTTGTGCCGGTTTCCTTTGTATATTTTAATTATTCTTACTGATTCTGTTAGAAGTAGGCTACATCATCCCCTTAGACAAATGTTTTTGCACACGAGACAAAGCATTTTATCTAGTCTTATCACAAGGCAGTTTACAAAGACAATCAATAATATCATAAAGGCACCTTATTTAAAAGTTTTCCTTCTAGGAAACCCAGCTGATTGCTTCGAGCCATTCACTTAGCAGGAGTACCTCCCCTGGTTGAGTGAGTTGCAACAGAAGATATTCACTTGTATAGTGTTGTTGACTCCACAGCAATCCCTCACATTGAGCATGCATGTAGTGACAGTGGAGAGGAAGAACTCCCTTTTAACAGGAAGAAGATTAGCAGGGGTCTGAGAAGACAAAAGCAGACACAAAAAAGGAACATAAAGGCACTAATCCCAAAAGCCTGTCTGTTCCTGTGTTAACATATCTGTAAAAAAACATAGGAGGAAGATTATCTTTACTGTTTATCTTTGTGGGAAGGCTTTTGTTTGTAAAAGGTACCTTTTTATGTAAATCAACGTCAGAAAAAAAAAAAAAAAGCTAATAGCTGTTTAAATCCAAAACATTGCTGTTGGGAACAGTTAAAAAATTACCATCTGTCTATGAAAGATAACATGGGGTCTTTTTTGTCCACATGGCTTAAAAAAAACTACATTTTGTACTTTCATCTGATTTAGCTATTTTGTTATCTATGTACACATCCTGTGTACCTATACAGATTATTCTAAAAGATTAGCTGCCTCCTCCTCCTGCTGCTTCGTCCTAAGCTCCCCACGTGAAGAGCAAACACACACTTAAGCCCTTCTGGATCCAAAGACTTGACATCAATTTGTCCCGGTAGGAGAAGGGCCCCTAGCCAACTTGCCAAGCCTCTTCAGGCCTCTCTGTTTCCATGCCAAATGCCACTCTTACTGTTTTTACACCCCTCAAAACATCTGGAAGGATTGAAAAGATGCTTAATCACCTTCCGATAGGAACAAAAAATTATATGGTAAAAGAGCAACTGAAAGATACAAATAGAGTGACTCACTACAGTAACAATTATTTTTTATTTGATTTGATTCATTTTATTTCAGTTAAATTGAATCCAATTCAAATAATATCTTGTTTTATCAACCCCTAAGGGAAATTAAGTGTGCTTTAACTTATCTGATTTTTTTCTTGTAGATGTCCAAATCTAAGGAAGGATCATCTGTTTTGCAACCTTGTCTGGAGAAGCCTTGGACAGAAACAGTCTCCGCTGTTTAGCAGTCTTCAGAAGAAGATGCTAACAGTTTTCCGTAATTTTCCTAATTTTTATGAGGAATCACACTCTCCACAGCAAACTTATAAAAAATATGCAAAATCTTTAAGTTTCCTAAAAAAAAGTGCAGTCTGTTTCCCTTCCACGTCCCTTCTTGTGAGTAGACAACTTCACACTTACATATAAAGTTGAGTAGGTTGTCAAGGTGTATATCAAAGTATTTGTTCTCCTCCACCACCTCCAACTTTTCTGCAATGCTTTGGATAGAGATAATCGCTGATCCTTCTGAGCTCTACAATCATCTCCCTTATACTCCCTTGTATTCAGCTTCTAGTCCACCTTTTGATGCACCCACCGGCTGCAGAGTCATCCGAGTATTCCTGCAGATGGAAATCAGGGTTGTACAGAGTGAAAAGGACTGGTGAAGGTCATGGCCGTGGGAAGTTAGGGTGCTGCAACACCCCCTAGGGATGCGAGGGAGACTTTTTTTTTAATGTATTAAAAATACTTTGACACAATTTATAAATTTCTTATGAATATTTGGGGAATTGATTTTGACTATTTTTTATTTTCCTATTATGTGTATTTGGATTTTAATGTAATCATTTTGAGGCTTGATCATTACAAATTCATGGAAGTTACATTGTCATCGCAACGTCAAGCAGGCTAGTGGTCGCCGAGGTATCCCCCTGGTGGCATCAGACTAGTCAATTTATATAGTCTAATGACAGAAAAGCATTTCAGATTTTTTGGGAAAACCACCACCAGTGAAGAAGAGTCCTAGTACCTCAACCACGACAATGGAGCGCAGCCGGAGTTAGGAGACAGTTTCAACGGCAGACAAAGTCCCAACACCT